TCGTTTTATAGTAATTATATTAATAAAATAATCTATTTATAGATTGATACTATTGATATAACTTTGGTATCTGATAGAATATATAAATATGTTTTTCATATAAGGGATTATTTTTCTAGATTTTCTTATGCAGAGCTTTCATATTCTAAAACTACTGAAAACAGTTCTTTATAAATTAGTATTTAGGCAATTTTCCCATTGTGATACAAATTTAGTTAATGTATTAGAACATGAAAATACATATTCAACATCAAATTCCCCAACTATAATGTATGAAACTGATTCACAATCTACTGTTGTATCTGAAATTGGCAATAAGAGTTAAGGATTAGAAATTGATGAAATATATTTTGAAGAAATACGAAAAATTAGTGATATGAAAGAAGTGCAAGAGATTAACAATGAAGTAGAAGAAATGCAAGAGGTTAACAGTGATGTAGAAGAAGCATAAGAGATTAATAACAATGTAGAAGAAATGCAAGAGATTAATAGTGATGTAGAAGAAGCACAAAAAATTAATAACAATATAGAAAAAATACAAAAGATTAACAATGATATAGAAGAAGTGCAAGAGATTGATAGTAATGTAGAAGAAGCGTAAGAGATTAATAATGATGTAGAAGAAGTGCAAGAGATTAACAGCGATATAAAAGAAGCACAAGAAATTAGCAGTGATATAGAAGAAGCACAAGAGATTAACAACAATATAGAAGAAGTGCAAGAGATTAATAACAATATAAAAGAGGAAATAAATAATATTGTGAAATGGCAAGATAATGATAAGTCACAAGAAATCCATATAGTATATATAACTTTGAAATCAAACCAAATTATTTTAAAAATAATTATATTAATAAAGCACCAGAAATTATTGAAATTGTTAATTCAGATGAAGAAAGCTTTAGTAAAAATCAATATTATGCAGCACAAATTGTTGATTCTGAAAAAGAAAGCTTTAGTAAAAATTGGCACTATATAGTGCAAGAAGGAAAAATTGTTGATTCTGAGAAAGAAAGCTCTAGTAAAAATTGATATTATATAGCGAAAGAAAAGGAAAAATTGAGAGTTAACTCAGAATTTAACCAAGTATTGTTTTATTTTAAAATAAATAAAAATTAAAAAATTAAAAAATAAATAAAGAAAAATGATAATAAATGTTTGTCTTTAAATAATATATTGAATTTAACTTGTGCAATATTTAAACAGCATAAAAAGATTCAACAATCAGCAATTTTAAATATTAAAAAAAATCGAGAGCTTATACGAAGCAGAATGGAGCAAAAATTTAGAACCAAATATAACCAAAAATTTGAGCCTGGCGAATTTGTAAAAATTTGTATTTCTGATATTAATAGGCAAAAAATGGGTCAAAGATCTTTATCTTGCAAGGTTCTACAAAAAAAGCCTGATTAGAATTCTTATCAAGTTGGTTGTCAATTTGAAGTACTTAAACATTGGTATTTTACAAGCGAACTTAAATTGCTAGAAACATCAAATTATTTTTTTTTTGAAGTGATTCTCTTAAACAATATAATTTCTTTACAACAAGCTGATTTTAAACAGAACACAAGATTATATCAATTTTCAAAACAAAGTAATATCAACAATAAATCTAATAAATAATTTATAAATAATACTATTATTTTGTTATAAATTTTATTATATGAATAAAATTAATTTTATAATAAAACTTGTTTATTAATTTGATAGTTCTTAGGACAAAAAAATATTTTTTCTATTTAAAAAGAAACTATTCTAAAGACAAATTGTTGTCACTGTCAAAAAATACAATGCAGCACCAATGCTTGTTCTTGTCGAAAAAACAATTTATTATATACAAGATGCAGTAGATGCATTTTACGCAATGAATGCAAAAATTAATAATCAATATAAAAATTAATAAACATTTCCAATATAAATGTAAAAATCAATAAATATTTCATAATCAAAAATTCTTATTATACATGTATAAATTTATTATTATAAATTTTCACTGATTAAGAAATAAAGTAATTCATTTTCAAATTTATAAATAATTCACATGATTAATAATCTATATAAATTGAGAAACGAAGCAGAATATATACATCTAAATTTTCATATCTACATCAATTGTGGTGTCTATATTACTGAAAATTAAAATGTATTTAAAAACCAACCGTATCAAGTAATAAAAAAATAACTTTTAGATAACTTTCCATTATTACTAAATAATAAAATATATGCTTATCTGAATATTCTTTTGCATATTGTCTTTGAGTTCGACTTGTAACTTTTAATAAACCTTTTCAAAACTCAATTTGATAGACTAAATTGACTTGTAACTTTGATTCAGCTTATTAAGACTTGGATTCTAGAACAGTTGTAAAATTAGATATTACTATCAGTCGATCCAGATATTACACATGACATTTTATCATATGATTTTTATAAATTACACAAATCGACGAAATCACGTTTTTAAATTTTTCGCCCAAAGTCTTAGTTATAATACACAACGTTTCTTAAAACAAAGTTGTTGCCAGGGTTTCAACGAGTCGAACAGTATAAAGAATGTGAAAAACTAATGTTACCAGGTAATGTGAGACCCCTTCGAATATAGGCAATTATTTTGCCTTCTTTCACAAGATTCTTTTTGAGTTTTCAAGATCTTGACGTGAAAAATAGCTTGTTAGATGCGCACGGGT